CAAAAACAAACACATGACATCTTTGACCCTTTTGGATTAGAAAAATAAAAGACTATTAAATAACAGAAAAATCATCGACCAACAAATATAAATTTGCAGACAAAAAAAAAAAAGGAAAAGGGGAGGAGCTTTTCAACGACAATTAGTGACAAACATTTATTTATTTGTTTGTTTGAAGAGTCCGAGCTCCAACAAGTGCTGGTTTGTGAGGAGGAGCCGCGTCACCAGCCTTGTGGTTTTGTTTCCGAGGATGAAATCTTACGTCCTCTGCCGCCTCCTGTTATTCATTTCAAAATAAGGGGTCTCATTTTTGGCCTTGCACTGTGGAGCCTTCACGCCGACGCCGGGCTCTGCCTTGCCGGCTCTCACGTTGGGGCTGGATTTCGGCGGAGCCACGGCTCGTCCTGGAGGAGGTTCAGGTTTTAGAGTTGGCATTGCATGGGTGGGGTTAGTCGTGGCGGCGGCTTGTTTTCGCCCAGCTGTCTGAGCCGTGGCTGGTGTTTTCTGATTGGCTTTGCTGGAGGGAGAGGGCCCGGTGGTGCCCCCTGGGACCCGCCAAGGGACAGCAGCTGTACCTCGCGGAGGGGCGGCAGCTTTGGTCGGGGCCACCCCCTTGGCTTTGGTCTCTTTGCCCTTTGGCAGGGAGCTGGTAGGTTTTGGCAGCACGGGAGAGGCTGTGCGTGAGCTGGAGGAGGGGGTGTGGGACTGCGGCGTCGGCGCTCTTGAGCTCGTTGCAGCTGCAGCTCTTGTGGCTGTCCGCACTCGCCTGGCTGCCTCTAGACGGAGGCGTGAGGCTGGGGACCCTGGGCGGCGCTGTGCAAGGCGAGAGCGCTGGCTGGTGCCCGTTGGGGGGCGGGCATCTTTAGGGGTGGGGGCCCGTGCTGGTGCAGTGACGGGGCGAGGCACAGTAGCGGTGGGTGAGGTGCAGGGGCTGGAGGGTTTGGGGAGTTTGGAGGATGGCTCCGGGCAGACGGGGCTCCTGGGCTGAGTGGCAGCACCGCGTTGCAACGGTCTGAGCTTCAGTTTGGAGGCGGGAGTTGGATCCGTGGCGACAGGGGACGGAGCTGATGATGGAGTCACAGCTCTGCGGTGGACTTGCGCTCCCTGCCCCCCCGCTGTGGGAGACAGTTTGGAGGAGCTCCCCACAGGCGTGGAGGGCAAAGAGGAGGAGCCTTTGGAGGCGATGGGCAGGGGCAGCTGGGTGGGCTTCCTCGGGGAGGAAGGCGTCATCTGGAGGTTCTTCTTGGCTGCCGTCACAGCACCTTTCCTGGGCAGCGTGGGCGTGCAGGCCGGAGAGGCGGCGTGAAGCCGACCCACCTGACCCACAGGCGTCTGCTTACAGGCTGAGCCAGAGAGGGAGGAAGACGAGGAGGCGGAGGAGGAAGAGGAGGACGAGGAGGAGATGAGGTCATTGACGGCGGCGAGGGGGTCCATGTCAGGAGGCGGAGGAGGGGGAGCTGCGTTGCCGTGGTGACCTCCCAGTCCGGGGGGGCCTTTCTGAAAAGCCAGGATCTTCTGCTCCAGAGTGGTGAACTGCAGCACTCGCAGAGGGTCGTACTTCGTCAGGAAGCCACGCAGCGTGTCCCAGCCGCCGCCGACACGCACCATCACATGTTTACCATGAAGCATCTGAGGAGGAAGAACAAATCATCCAATGAGGTTTAATGTAAAATCTTTGTGTGTCGGTCCTCTCCTGGGGCCTGGCCCAGTGGACGGCTAATCATGATGTAATCGTCCAACGCCATGAGCCACGACTGGGTAACAAGCTTACATGTGTCCAATCACAGCTGCGGGGAGAGTCACTGACACACACACACACACACTGGCAGGAGCCTGTGTTGTCAGTGAGCATCCTACTACGCACTTTAATAGGATACAAACAGTATTTATAGCCGTACACACTACGCTGCATCAACACTAGTACGTGTACCGCTGCCAAATCCAACAGACACCACGATACTGATGTTATCTGCTTTCTGTATTTC